GCCACGAGAGAGGATCTAACTCTAAGTGAGCAGCCCGAAACACAGGCCCCACTAAATGAACTCAGAGCATTATGTGTGTGTGTGTGTGTGTGTGTGTGTGTGTGTGTGTGTGTGGTGTATGTGTGTGTGTGTGTTTACAATGTATGTATGCATAAGTAACAATAATAAAGAGGACAAGAAATTGAGGGGGGGCATGGGAGGAGTTGGAGAGGGACTTGGAAGATAGATATAATACAAAGTATTAAGAATTTTGTGATCATGTATGAAATTCTCCAAAGCAAAATAAAAAAGAACACATTCAATACACTTTTTTGCTGTTAATTTGGCTTTAACAATTACTAAGTATACAGCAAAAATGCCACAGACCCTGTGAGTGAGCTGCGCATTTGACACAATATTCAGCAGAGAAGAGAGAGACAGGCACATCTAGAAGCTCAGGGACCTGAAAGTTCCACCTACATACTAGAAGGTATGGTGGGGCACTCCATTGCTGCCCCCACTCATAATTGTAAATTGTTCTAATCACCCCAAGATAACAAAAATCTGATTTCCCTAAGCTTTTTATTATTAGACAAATCAACTTACTGTGAGAAATATAAAGGAAATGTATTCTATCTTCTATCAATGTATTAAATAAGACAAAAGAAGTTCAAAAGAAAATTGTAAGATACCATTTAATAAAAATCCCTCCACCCAGGTCATAACTTTCTTAAATAAAAATATTTTACCAAGTTTCAAAAAAATGCATTTCCTACATATTTGGTTTCTAGTTACACACATATATCCTAAACTTGTTTCTAATAAGCATTAACGCAACAGATATAAGTTCAATGACTTCCTGATTTCACATTGGTTCAAAGAATAGGCATTAAATTTAACCAAATTTAGTTTCCCCTATCCCTAAAAGAGCATATTTATGGCTATACGACCAGCTCTGCTCCTTCAAGCTCCACTTTCCCATTTTAGACAGATTTTTACGTGTTTTATTTGAAAGGCAGGAGGACAGCCTCCCTTGCTCAAACTCCCTGGCTCTCTTCCAGTCTTTCCTCCAAACTGAGCTTCACACTTCCAAATCCCACTGCTGCTGGTCACCTAGGCAACACAGCAGCTTGCAGGATGGTACAGGTCACAGGCTCCCAGGAGGGAAACAGACAAGGCATTAGACTTGTTTTTCCATCTCAAAAAAAGTCTCTGTCCTTGCTACCTATGTAACTCCTCTCTTCCATGAGGCCCTGCTCTTCCCTGGCTTCTCTCAAATCTAACAAGTCTCCTTGGCTATAGCCTCCCCCTATGCCACAGAAATTGCTCAGATCTTGACACTGTCATCCCTGGCCTTGAAATTTCAATGGTTCTTCACTTCTCTCTAGAGAAGCAAGGTGCTCAAAGACTATGTCAGACAACCTGCTATGGATTCTTCCTCCAGATGCCATATGTTTCAGCCACACTAAACAAATGATGCATCCCTTCTTGCATAAACCTGTATCTTCCTGCTGCTTCTCTCTCATGGGCCCCTTTGTATTCTCCAGGAAACTGCTCATGCACTTTGCCTCTCTGATGTAGCAGAGGTTCAGTTATCTGGGCCCTCAAGGCATTTTATACTGAACACTTACTAGGCTCCCTCTTCATTTCAAATATTAAAAATTAGGATCTGTACATGAGAGACACATTTGATTATGTCTTTCTGAGTTTGGGTCACCTCACTTATTATAATGCTTCCAGTTCTAGTCACATTCCTGCAAATTTCACAATTTTGTTTTTCTTAATAGCTATAGCTTCCCCCTGTGCAACTGAAATTGATCAGAACTTGACATTGTCATCCATGGCCTTGAAACATAGTATCTGCTGATGACCTTCTAGGCTGGTTCCATTGCCTTGCTATTGTGAATAGTGCAGTAATAACATGGGTATGTAAGCAACTCTGTGGCAAAATAGAATCCTTTGGGTATATGTCCAGGAGTGGTATAGCCAAGTCATATAGTATTTCTATTTTTAATTTTTTAAGGAACTGCCATAGTGATTTCCAAAATGGTTGTACCATAACACACTTTTAGTGGATAAGAATTCCGCTTTCCCCAGAGCCTCACCATCACTTGTTGTCATTTGTTTCCTTGATCATAGTTATTCTGACTGGAGGGAGATAGAAGCTCAAAGTGGTTTTAGTTTATATTTCTCTGATGCCTAAGTATGTTGAACATTTAAAAAAAAATATTGGCCATTTGTGATTTTTCTTTAGGGAACAGTCTGTTCATTCCATTAGCTTGTTTACTGATGGGCAGTTTCATGGTTTTAATGTTTAACTTTTGTGGATATTTATGTATTGTAGCTATCAACCTATTAACATATCAACCGACTGTCTCACGTATTGCTGACAAGTATAGCTGTTGGTTGGTTCTTTGATGACAGTTTCCCTTGTTGTTCAGAAACATTTTAATTTCATATAGTCCCATTTGCTGGTTCTTGGGGATATTTTCTCGACTATTGAAGTCCTGCTCAAAAAGTTCCTGCCTATAGTTACAACTTAGTTGTGTTTCCTGTTTTCCTCTAGCTAGCAGTCTGAGCATTTCACACTTTAAATTAAGGTCCTTGATCCACTTTAGAGATGTGGATCTCAATTCATTCTTCCTGCATATCCGGCGGTGCCAGCTCCATAGTTGAATAGTCTTGTCTGCTTTTCGGTGTCTATTCTTAATGCCTTTGCCAAAATTAGGTGCCCATAGCTGTGGTTTGTTTTGGAGCTCTCTATCCCACTCCATTGGTCTACATGTTTGTTTTTGTGCAGGCATCAACTTATTTTCATTACTTTCACTCTGTAGTGTACAGTTCAAGGACAGATACTGCAATACTTTGAGCAGAGTTCTTTTTGTATATTTCTATGTGATTCGTCTTCATGTCATATCAGTGGAACTGTACATACTGTGTACACAGGAGAAACAGTAGAATGAATGAAGTCACTTAAAATATTGATTTTTATATTATTAAAATCTTTTTGGTTTCAGGACAATGTACACAAATGAACAAGACTATGTCCATATGTTCTTCTAAGAAAGCCTCAGAGAAGCTGGTCAACAAATTCTGATTGTCAACATAGTTTATGAAATTGCATTTGAGTAAAATAACTGATTGCAAAAACAAAGAATCAGAGATAACCATATGGGGCAGGCTTCTCCCTGAGAGTCGACTTTCCTCTCATGTTGCTTTCTTCTTAGAAGATTGTAGTAAAAAGCATAATACAAATGACACTAGCATTGCTGTAAGAAAAATGAAGGAATTTCACAGGAGCATCATGGGACACAGGAAGGAATAAAAACAGTTTTTTAACAGCCATAATAAATACAGAAAATAGCAAAGAGACAATTTAATGATATTTAAAACTCATCAGAAGAACAAAATCTATGAATTCCACTAGTCAAATAGTATGTATGCTTAGTAAATCCTCCTCTCTCATGCTTGTGTGAGGCTAACAATTATTGATCTTCTAGTTTCCATTACAGAGTGCGTTTAATATTGGATACCCTTTTCAATATTTTAGATTATATGGTGTTGCTTTAATTTTTAGATTCCATTAACTTCCTTGGAACATCTTTTTTTAAAAAATACCTTTAGGGTTTGCCAATTACCAAGAGAAAAACAATCCATAGCTTTACATTTTCTCAGTTTTATTTTCTACCTCTCCATGTAACTTTTCTTTGAGCTCCACTACGCTCATTTTCAAACTTATATAAAAGAACAACCAGCCATTTTCTTAGATACGTTAATTATATGAAATGAATCTTAAAAAGTACAGGAAGCCAAATATGAACATGTATGCTATTAGCTAGTAGAAGAAGCTTTCAACGGAAAGGAATTATAGAGACTATGAGATTTCCATTCTGGAAAGAAATAAAGTTAAAATAAGGTTGCTGAGTTTTCCCAGAAAAACCATAACCGAGAACATTTACGATATATCATTCCATCGATACCTGTGGTTGTAATCTTCAAGGCCTAATTCCAGACTGGACTGTGGTGGAGGGGATAGTCGTGCTTCACTCTCAGCCCATCTGTCAGAGGGAAGCAATGGGTCTGTAAACAAAGAACAAATGAAGCAGTGGTAAACCGGAGGCAGAACGATTCAGTGCCTGGTTTTGTTTCAGTCCATCTCTCAGACACAATTTGAATCAACACATAAACCTACTTTGAAATCAATAAACCTCACCTGGAATGGGAGGTTTCACATGAGAGTGAATGCTCCCAGCATGAGATGACCTGTGCCTACTACCATGCATCTACTCTGGTGACCTGTTGGTCACCCTGGCCAATAAATCCACACATTTCAACCACCTTCTGCCACCTATGAAAGTCTGACATGTATTCATTACTGTGACATGTGGAAGACTCACAAAACATGTCTTCTATGTCTTAAAACTTTTGAAAATAAGGTTCTATAATGAATACTCTGAATTCTATGATGATGTAGGGATTTATCTGATTGGAAAGAAGTAGTTAATAAAAATCCCTGAAACCCAGTGAATGCTCATATTTAGATACAACAAAGGGAAAAAAAAATCCACTTTTCCCATCTGTGTCACAAGGGAGACACTTGCATGTTAGGCCTTGTAAGCAAAAGACTGGGCTCTGAATTTTTGTTTTCCTACTTAGTAAAATAAGCATACTTCTGTAGGCTTCTGTGTAGTGGAAAAATAACATTACCCTGCACATGAATATGACCAGCAAGTAAGGTGTGATGTGATGTGGTTGCATGTCAGATTGTGCTAATCATTATGAAAATTATTTCCTTTCATAAAATAACAAATTAAGTAGTGTATGAAAAGTTTATAGAATATTCTAGTTAGGACAAAGATTTTTACAGCACGACTGCCATGTTTCTTGCCATGTGAATCTGGAAAAATTTCTCAACCTCTCCAAGTCTCAATTTGAAATCTATAGTCATGATAAGAATACTTTATTGGGAACTGAGGATGGAGCTTAGTGGTTGTACTTGCCTAACATGCACAGAGTCTTGGCTTCTATTCCCAGCACCAATAAAATAAAATAAGAATGGGGGAAAAAAAAAAAAAAACCACCTTTAGCAGAAGAGTATCTGGATTAAAAAGGGGAGCATATGTTTACACAGCGACTCTACATTTGAAATGCTAAATTAATGTGTTGCACAGCTTCAGTTGTCATCTTGACACACTTGGTTAGAGGGAACCTCAGTTGAGGAATTATCTCCATTGAATTGGCCTGTAGCCATGTCTGTGGGGCATCATCTTGATTGTTGAGTGATGTGGGAGGGCCCAAGCCACTGTGGGTGATGCCACTCCTGGGCAGGTGGTGCTGTGTTGTATAAAAAAGCAGGCTGACCACAGGCCAGAGGAGTAAGCCAGTAAGCAGCATTCCTCCAAGATCTGTGCTCCATGTTCTTGCCTTGAGTTCCTGCCTTGGTTTCCCTTGATGGTCTGTGAGCTGTAAGTCTAATAAATCCTTTCCTTCCCACGTTGCTTTTGGTCAGTGTTTTTATTGCAGCAATTGAAAGCAAACTAAGACAGTTAACATAAAGGATTATTATTTCATAAATGATAAGTTCTAGTATACATTTATTAAAGTGAGTTTTTAATAAACTGTGAACCCTATTTGTTCCTATGGATGGAATAAGAAAAAATATTCTCTCTACCCTTGAGAACTGTGGCTGGCATGAGCACCTGGCTTGATGGGTCTATCTGCCAGGTGTGATGGTGCCTCCACACTCTTCTGGGAGTTTTAAATCAATAGCAGATTGTCTTCTCCAAGGTGGATGGGTCTTATTCTGTGAGCTGAAGGCCCAAGTAGAACAAAGGCAGGCTCTTCCTTGAGTAAGAAAGAATTCCTCCCACCTGGCTACCTTTAACCCTGCATGTCTGCTTTATTCTGCATTTGGACTTAAACTGAAACATTGCCTCTTCTGAGATCTTATGCCTGATGGGCCTATGGATGGGACTCACACTGCCAGCTCTACTGATTCTCAGGCTGTTTGATTCAGGTTGTAACTCCACATAAGGGTTCTGTTGGGTCTCCAGTTTGATGATTTATCTCTAAGATCTTGGGGATTGTCAATCTTCCAAATCATGTGAGCCAATTCCTTACATTTATGCATATTCTTGCTTGTTCTGTTTATCTAGAGAATTCTGATACACATAGCAAGAACTGCTCTAACTTTTCTCCAGGGACTATTTTGGAATGGAGGCATTGGTAACAGAGCTGACATGTTCCTAGGAATGAGGGTGGAAGCAGGAGACTCAACCAGCAGGTGTGTGGGGTAATAAAGCAGGATGAGCAAAGGTGGCCAGCACTGCCCCCTAATCCAGTGACTTGATAGTGATGATGGATGTCAGACAGCTAGAAAGTTGCTTAAAGACACAGAGATTGTACAAATAGGGACAAGGACACAGCAAGACCTCCCTTCTACTGGTCTGAATCTTTCAACCTGCAGCTTTGCAGTCCACTTCTACTCTGGTGGTATATATAGATGTGATCAGCTAACTTGATTGTTCAAATTTACTTCACAGAATAAAGGTCTATGCTCTTTGCAGCTGACTTCATCTCCTACTACACATTAGCTACCCAAGATTATGTGCTATGTCCTGACTACTACAGCCCAGGGCCTATCTACTTCAGCTGATAATAACTGGAAAATCTATTCCACCTGTGAAAGTCTTACCCTACTTCCAAGGTCCACATGAAATGTCACCTACTCTATGAAGCCTACACTGTCTCCCATGGTTCTCTGCTTTTATAACAGTAGCAGGGAATACTCTTTTCTTGGCCAACATCTGTCACCTGTATACCATTTCCTACCCCTTCTTGTTCTAGACTAGTTCTTGTCAATGGAATGTAGTTGCTATGAATGTCATTGCCAGCCTCAGAGGTTTAGAAAGGGTACAGCTTGTCTGCTTGTCTATTTCATCTCTCTCTCTCTCTCTCTCTCTCTCTCTCTCTCTCTCCCTCTCCCCCCATCTTCCCCTAAATTCTACCCAAGAGCCATTTGATAAATTGCTATAATTAAATTGTTATTGAATTTTTGTGATTTTTGTACAATATAGTTTGATGGTACTTAGATTCCCCTCCCCTATCCACATCTCTTCTCACTGCCCCTGCCCAATTTAATGATTATATATATATATATGTCTCATAGCCTATAGCATGTGATTTATTTGTGTCCCCAAATGTCCTTCAGTGTAAGTCCATTCACTGGATTTACCAAGAGTCCCATCCCTGCAAGACACTGTATTTCCCCATCCCAGCAGCCATCAATTACCAAAAGTGCCTTAGGCTGGGATTTCTTACCCACTTCCCCATGTCTATGCTGGGATTTTGTCTCCTGTATGCTGTCATCATTGTGAGTTCATATGTGTAACTGAGTGGGCATCCACTCCCTTTGGCTCTTACAATCTCTTCCGTCACCTCCTCTTCCTCAATGACCCCTAAGCCTTGGGAGACAGAGGTTTGAAATAGCTGTCCTAATCAGGGATAAACATTCTGTAGCCTCTGGTTGTCTGCACATTTGTCACCTGTATAACATGTACTATGTACCATTTTTGCAATGAGATCTATCTATTGACATATCAAGCTATAATCTATTCAGTGTTTCTTTCACCAGACTGTATATAACTCTTTCTCGTCTTCCTATTTTTCTTCTGCAGCTTCTTCTCTGGTTGTTTTGAGTCTTATTATAATCTTTCATTTTTATTGCATTCCTCTGCCCCACTTGTTTTTCTTAATGTGATGATGGGTTGACTGTGCTCAGCATACTCGGATACTATGTGGAATTTTTTTCTTTATTCAAAAACCTTTGTTAAACTCTGTATAGGGGTGCAACTGTAGAATACTAATCCCCTACAAATACTATTTTTGAAGTTCATTGACTGTATAATGCACTTCCAATACACACACACACACACACACACACACACACACACACACACACCACAATTGTCAATGTTGACAATGTGCCTTCCAGTCACTATTTCATTGTTAGCTAAATAGCCTTTCTTTTAATTAAATATTTTGTTGTTTTTTAGGATCCATTTATTCAAGACCAATTCAGAAATATGGGTAAAAGAGGCCATGGTTTTAGACAATGAGTAAGTAAGCTATGGCCCTGGTCTAAGATTAATCCATCATCTGAATTTGTAAATAAAGTTTTATTGAAAACAGCCATACTCATTTGTTCATGCACTGTCTGTGGTTGCTTTCACACTGCAATGGCTGAGTGTACAGAATATGATGACTCCTGCCTCATGCTCTTCTTGGGGGCAGTAACAGTGTTGCACACATCTCTGCTTTCTTGGTAGTATGTCACCATAAAAGTGTCCAACAAACATGCAAAGCTAAAAGTAGAATTCAATTTCGGATCAACAGTGCAGACAGAATGCCTTCATGCTATGGAATGCTAGATGCGCACTGGCTCCCAGGAGGATACACATTTGGGAAAGTCCACTATTATGTGTTTCTTTAAAGGACCCTGGGGAACATGGATATAGTGGGACAGGGCACGGAATCCAAATATTTGATCTGAGGAGGGGTAGAAAGGTCTAACTCAGTAAGTGACTCTGCAGACATGGAACAACTTAAGCTGAATGTGGGGGCGAAGCAGGAGAAAACAAAGAGGCGAGGAGAGCAGGCAGGGGAGAGGTCATAACAACCAGAGGCAAATTGTGCTTAGGCCATTACTCAGCCTAGGATGCGATCCATCTGGAAAATTCTCCAGGAAATACAGTGTTGGTTCACCTCACAACTGTCTGGGTGCCTACAGGTTTACAGAAGCCTCTGGGACACAGTCCCATCCCTATTTCTATCTTGTAACACGATACTCATCCCACAGGGGGCACTCCTGACAATTCTCCAACATGAGAATTTTATGATATTACTGTTTTACAAATGTTAATTCTAAAAATTCCTTTTCTGTGTAACAGCTTGGATCGAATAAAAAAATAAAGTACCCTGCAAACTGTGGGTGGTATGTACTGTTATTACAAAAATAGATGGAACACAGTATATCAACACTGGAGTTTTAAATATACAAAGGAAAGGAAAAGGGAACGAGAAAATTTAATGTTTTGGCTGTCTCCATTCCTCTCCCCACCAGACATTACATTTTGTCAAGTTAATCTTGTTTTTCTAAAAGAACCCCTGAAATCCAGTCATGGTAAAGCAACCCTTAGGGTTCATAAGTCTCCTTGGCATATCACACCTTCTGTGGTTTTGAAACTCAGGATTTCCCCTAGTTCCATAGTTCTCAAAGTATAAAATGTTAAGATTGAAAAGAAGTGATGAACATGGTATTATTCCATACCGTTAGGCTATCTTAACTTTAGAATTTATTTCAAATCTCTAATCAGATTCCATGAAAAGTAAGAGAATTTCATTTGGACTCTATCATAAAATTTAATGAGTCTATGCTTTGATAAGCCTAAATCTTGCAAGCTAGTGGTGTAGTGCAGACACACAAGGGTATGGTAAAAGTAGCCTTGGCTTTCTTCGAACAAACAATGGCTAGTTGGTTAGACTATAGCAAGCCCCTGGGCCACAGCCTCTATCCCCACGTCTTAGAGAACCACTCTTACTACACAGTGGATACTACTACCAAGTCTCTGGAACAGATGTGAAAGAGCTGTTGTGGTTGTTTTTAATATTAACTTAAAAAATTCAGATATGGGTGGAAGTGAAACAGGAAGCGGACCAATGAAATGCTTCTTTTAATTAAAAATAAATAAATAAATAAATAAATAAATTCAGATATGGGTGGAAGTGAAACAGGAAGCGGGTGCTTAGCTGATCAGCAGTTTTTACTTGTTTGCTCTTATCTCTGTGAAAGTTTTGCTATGGATATCTATGCTTCAGGAGGAAGATCATATACAAAATCTCCAGTGCTTGTCTACGGCAACTTTTATTCAAAGGACTTGTTTTGTTCAAAAGAGACAAAAGATAAACATTCCACACAGCTCCAAAATATTAAGTATTATCTGACCCTGTGCTTTGAGCAGCTCTTATTACTAAAATTTTATTTTCTGGTTGTAGTTTTATACTTTAATTCTATACTTCCATTCATTTAACCTTAGTTATTGCTTTCTAGAAACAGTATATTTTTTACTTGAGTATATTAATGTCTTCTGAAATATGTCGTGTGACTATTACTCCAGCAAAGATATTTTTATAGGTCATGAAAAAGGAAGAGGTCTTATGCCCAATTTTTGAATGTCATGGGTGAATTAAGAATAAAACCTTAAACTTAGACACTAGACTGCATGTGCATATTGCTGGACAATCAAAGGTTAATCAAATCATGTGAAGGCAGGGTATTTAATATAGATATCTATGTTCATGCTCTTAATATAGGCTTAATGGAAAACAGGGTGCTGTGTTCTATAGAAAAACTCTGCTCCTTCCTCATTCTGTTGCCACTAGGACTGAAAATCTCAGAAAGAGTTCCTGTTTTGTCAAGAAGACATCATTTGCCAACCTTGTCTACAGAACAAGTTTCAGGCCAGCTGGGGCTACTGTCTCAAAAAGACTCAAAAGTCCAAAAAAAGATAATAACTTCTTTAAAGTGGCCAATATATACTGAGTATTTTATTAAATCTGGGTACAAAGTAAAGTCAGAGTGTCACAGACATTCTTATTGCAGGTAGAAAGACTTCAATAGTTCCACGGGACCCCTGCAGGTCAGGGCAGATGCTTTAGTGGATATGAACCCAAGCCAGAGACAGAAGATGAATCCAGGCTCTGAGTATATCAAATATACAGTCCCCCAAGTAAATTATTTCTGACCTATTTCTTCATCTGTAAAATGAAGATAACAATATTATCCACTTTGAGTTTGCCTGTAAATTGCTTGATACAGTACCTAACATATAGCAAACTCTTAAAATGGAGAAATTTCAGAGGAAAGTCCTCAACAACATCCCATTCAGATGAAACAGTGTAATGCTCAAGCACTCTCAGATTTACAAACCCATTACGAAATAGTAATATTAGAGTTTGGAAATTGTTCCTATGTCATTAAATTTTGGTGACATCTTTAAAGTCTATAAATTAATGAATTGATAATGTAATATATGTTACCTCCACTGAATAAAATACCTTGCCACTACATGAGGCTATAGAATACTCAGTGATATAGTAAGATGCTCATCACGTGCTTGCAATTGAAAAAGAAATTTCTCAAACACTGCACACAATACATCTCATGTTTAAATTTCATTTCATGTACACATATATACACAAAGAAAAGACCTGAAAAATCTACATAAAATGTTATTGATTAGGAGCTATGATAGATGGAAGTATGCATAACATTAAATTTTCTTTTTAATGCTGTTGTCTAAGTTTTCTACAATAAATATGTATGCATTGCTTTTGAAATATAAAAAGTAAAAGCTATTAAGGAAAAGAGATGCAGGGAGATAAAACAATTTTCTCAGTGACCCTAAGTATAATTTTTAAAGAAAAAAATGAAGAAATCCCAGGAGCCTACTGGAAAGGAGATCCATACCAGATAACAAGAGGAAGTGAGGCAGGAAAGGAGCAGTCTAGCTGTCAGCCCATGGCCTCAAGTTATGGTGCTTCAATATTTAGGACATTCATCTTAGAATCAAGCACAAATCTTCGAGTCATGTCATGACCACTTCACGGTTTCATGTAAATCCATATGTTTTTAAAGTTACTTGGTAACTTTCAATAATTGAAAACATCTTAGAAAAGTTAACAGTTTGCCATCTTTGATTCTCTAGTCGTGGCTTGTTTTATGCAAAATCCTCATGTTTGGGGCAGCAAGCATAGAAACTGTCACTTAAACTGGAGGCCTTGCCAGGAATCTGATTCACAAGTTCTGAGTCAGCCCTCACACCCACCCCTTAGTGCTCATGACTCTGAGTAACAAAGTCTGCACTTTGCCTAATTAACTTCTCTTTGTCCACAACACCTTTTTTTCTTTCAGCAAAAAGACCCTTGTGCAGTTTTGTACTCTATTTTCAGAAGATGAAAATGGGTAGAGCTTACCTTTCTGTTTATCTTTTGGACTGTAAGTGCCAAACGTATGCAATACACTACTACCGTTTCGTCTGGAGGTGCTTAGAGCATTTTGACAGTTCTCAAAGCATGGTTTGGAAAGTGCCCCACACTCTGCAAGATCCTAAGGGATAGAAATAAAAATTACATTTGCTTTTTTAATATGTTCCAACTTGGGTGACTGGCAGAGGGAAAGAATGACCCATGTGTGAATAGTTTCTAGACTCTCTAGCACATACATCTTCAACTATGGAAAATCAAAATGGCCCTATCAGTTCAAACATCTTTGAATATGAGGCTAAAAGCACAGACAATGGAGTGTTAAGGATTAGAGTGCTGATAGCTGACACAAAAGAGGGTTAACTTTATTATTCTTTTCCCCACTTGAAACTGGCTCCTTTCACATTTTTTTTCCATCTGGGAGTACAGCTTGTGGCAGTGTCAGTATGAGAATACAGTCCATGCCAAAGATGTTTGTCTGCCAACCAGCTGGTTCCTCTCTCTCTCTCTCCCTCTGCCTTTCTCTCTCCCCAGCTAAGTGCATATGCTCCAGGACAAGTCAGAGCCCAAGCAGGGTTTGCCAATGTGATGCCATGACCGTGCTCCACTGCAGACCCTACGTCTTTGGCCAGAAGCTAAAGCAAATTGCCACAACGAGGCCAGGCAGTGGTTCTCCAGAGAATCTGTTTTTCTTCCATATTTCTTTTTCTTGTTTGGATTCTGACAGTCTATAAACAAATTCACAGTTTTCTTAAAACTGCTGTATCATGAATAACACCCTACAAACTGTCCTCCCTAGGTGCTGAAGAGGTAACAGGAGGCAGCCGATGACAGTGAACTTGGGCTGTTTTCGGTTTCTTTTTAAAGAAGATCATGGCACAGGCAGCTGAGTTTTGCTTGTTAATATTATTTATCTCCCTAGCGGATTTAAGGTAAATAAATGATTTGGAAGTCATTCCATAGCTGTTCCCTTGACCATTTGTGAGAGGAACACACCACAAACAAGAACATAGATCTGCTCCCCAAGCTCTCTCCTCTAGAAAAGCATTTGGCTAAAACAATGCATTTGGTTTCACTGTCTAGCTAAACAAAATATTTAAAGCATTCAATTCTGTATCCTTAATAATTAAAATGCTTTCAGCTGCAGAAGGGCCATTAGCTTCTTGGGAAGGTTTCGAACACTTCTATACCTACTGTGCTGCTCTTTAATTCTGTACGGTTAGTGTCATCAAACCAAGTACTGGAGACCAGTGACTCCTAAGTTAAAGCTGGAGTCCCGGCAGGCCGGAGAGGAAGGGCTGGCCTCGCACGCACTGCCTCATGCTTTCACTTAACAATAACAACAGGAACAAAAAACAATTTTTTTCTGCTTTCCTAGCTCTTTGATAAATGACACAATCAATATCCCTACAACTGATCAGTAACCAGCCTAATTAAAGTATTCAGCCTGTAAAATAGAGCTGTCGTGGAGCCCTCCATTAGTGTCCCAGCCAATAAAAAATATAATGGATTTTTAAACATGTTCTGCTTCTGCAAAGATGAGCTGGCATCAGGGAGGAAAATGTTTTGGGGAAGGATAAAACAAAACCAGGTCATAACCCATTTCATACTAAGTCTCTAGGCACAAAGAGAATTGCAATTCAACCTGAGTCTCATCCTTTTAAAAATATGCTTCTGTTTAAAATAATTTTGATTCAATCAAAAGTTCATTATGTATTCTTCATAAGGTTCTCATCAAAACTGTTTACATGTCTTGTACAACTGGGTAATATGGGAAGAAAACCCCACAACTTTATATTTGTACTTTTCATAAGTAGCATCTTCATTTTTTAATATCCATACAATAGTCTAGCAATCACGTTGGCATCCTTGCCAAATCTAGCTATAGATTTGCCTAGATGTCAGAGCAGTGCTGAGACCTCTTTTGGGTTATGGATGCTTTTCTATGATTCTGGAGTATACATGCTGCTCCACTGGAGAATATACTAAACACGGGAGTGCACAGCATACACTCTGACAGAGTGAAGTGCAGATTCAAGAGATCAAATAGCTGAAGTTTTAAAAATGTAATAAAGATAAGCTGTACATTAGGCTTCTGTCTTTATAAGAAATAATACCCTTTAATCTTCATGGATACCACAGAGATTCTCAATTGCTAAGAGTCAAGTACCTGCTCATTCCCCATGGAAAGCATGTAAATATTAGGGAAAGAATATGGATCATGTTTAAATGTCCTCGTAAAAATTGCTTTTTGTCCCAGTTCCTATTCCTGATTGATTCCCTGGTGAACTATATTAACAAAATAGTTCTGAGGATGGGCAATGAAATGAAAGTTAATACTTTCTTCTGATGGGATAATATCAATCCCATTCTACTCTAGACTGTGGGAATAAAGATGGAAATACCTCAGGAAAGGAAAATGCAGAGAGCAAAGTACTCCCACTCCATGAGCTAGTGTGATGCACCCCCACCCCCACCTCCCCGCCTCATTCACGTGTATTTTGGAAAGAGACATGAAACTAGGGAAGAGGATGTGAGGCCCAGGTAAGTCTGTCAGAAACCTATACATTTTCTTTTAGTTTTGGCTCTCTGGGTGAGAGCAAGATGGCACTCTAGAGCAGCATCTTCCAGCCTTCTTTATTATTTCAGGTATCTGTGTTAAAGGATACCTTAAGGAAGCTGTAATATGCAGACACACAGAAAAGGATGCCTGAGACCTGCTCTCTCCATGGTGTCCTTTATATCCCTCTCCAATAAATGGGTTCTGTGGGTCCCAGGCCTCCATAGGAATAGGCCAAATTACACCAAATGGACCCTTCTCTCATGGTAGGTAGTAGTAGATAGAGCATTCAAACAATGTGCATAAGTGAAGCCCATTAAATATTCATGGAGACTCTGTCACTTAAGCAGAAGCACATGTGGAAAACAAGCTCATTCATTATATATAGTCTCCAGTAATTGGCCAATTTACATTTATTTAACATCTACAAGGTTATGTGCAAAAGAACCTAAAAGGTACAGTTACTCTTTTCCAATAGCTGATAATATAGAAAGTAAGATGTGGTTTATAATTTTACTACTCAAGACTTACCTTCTCAGATGAAATAGATATCAGATGCAACTTTTTCATTCATTTAGCAGTGTTTACTAGGTACCTTTATACTCTGATAAATGAAGACTCAACAGGGAATGAAATAGGCATCCATACCTGTCTTCTACACATCTGAGCACTCAAATTATATATGCATTTTCATAGCCAAGAAATAGCAAACCCATTGACTCAACTCAAGCAATCTATGACTTTAAAACCAAGCTTATGAGCTGGGCATGGTGGCACATGCCTTTAATCCCAGCACTCAGGAGGCAGAGACAAGCAGACCTCTTTGAGATCCAGGTCAGCCTGGTCTACATATTGAGTTCCAGGCCAGCTGGGACTATAGAGAGAGTTTATCTTAAACAAAAACAAAGAAACAAAACAAACAAAAACAACAATAACAAAAAACAAACTGAAAAAAACCCCTTATAACTGCAAGAGGCCCTAATGTTCTCTAAGATATCTTCTTTTGATAATCTTTCATTTTTAGTTTGAGTTAAACTTACTAAAATGAACATTTGATATTAGTGGTTTAAGTAGTATCTATTCTTACTTAATACACGTATAGCAGAAACATGTTTTGGCCTTATTACTATTCTATAAGATGATATATAATTTGTTAATATTTTCTCAAATTTTAATTACCTTATTAGTTTTTCCTAAAATAATTAAGATCATTTAATATTTATTCTTCATGTAGAAGAGAAAATGTTGTTTTAAGACCATTATACATTTATAGTTTATGGAAATGAACTATGTAGGTATAGCAGCATTCGAGAATTATTTCATACTCATCTTCATATATGTGGACTTTTTGTGAAATTTGAACATCATGATAAAATATTTTAAAAATAAGACTTCCATTCATTTAATAACAGAAGGAAGGAGTTTGCTTAATACATCAAATTTTAACTTAGCTATATCTCAGATCTGCATTATCTATGTATAGGTTATAGGAGAGAATATAAAGCTTTGATTTTATTATAATAATCTCACATTAAGCACTGCACATATCTGATTAAGAACTCTCTTAATGGGCATTGCTGATATATCACCAAAAAGTATGTGATGAAAGATGTTGTGGTAGTTTGAATGTGAATGTCCCCCAGAAAGTCCAAGTATTTGGACATATTTTCCTCAGTTGGTAGCACTGTTTTGGGAGCTCTTAGAAGGTGGGATCTTGTTGGAGGAAGCATGTTACTGGGGGTGGGCTCAGAGAGTTCTTAAACCTTGACCAGTTTCTAGTCACTCTCTGCTTTCTGTGCCTGCTTGAAGATGTGAAAGCTTAAGTTTTCTGCTCTGGGCCACTATGCCTCCCTGCATGATGGACTCTTGCCCCTTTGGAACTGGAAGGTAAATAAACTCTTCCTTCTATAAGTTGCTTTGGTCATGGTGTCTTATCATAGCAACAGAACAGTAACTAATACAGATGCCTAGTTCTGTACATAAACCCTAGAATATATAGGCCTCTGGTAGTTGATAAATAATTTACTTTATATGCATATTTTAATACTTTATGATTACATCTAATATATACAACCTCCTGTTTCTTTCATATATGAAACAGAGTCCCTTTTGAGCATATTTTCCCAAGAACAGAATCACAACAAATCAGTGTGCCACACGGGTCATGGAAATTTGCATGTTCTCGCAATCATTTGAGCGAATTCCCAAAACGGTGGAGCTTGTCTCACCTCCAGTGGCCTCTCTGGCCTCCTCAGAATCACCAGCTGGATCATCCCTCGAATGTTTCCCTCCATGGACATGGATCGCCTTAGTGTTTCCATAGCTTCATGGTTGGACTTTCCCAGAAGAGCTTCTCCATTCACTGCAATCAGCTGGTCATTCATTCGCAGGCGACCATCCTAAGGCAGAAGGAAGAAAACCAGAGTAAGATAGAGGACAGCATTGTAATGGCACCTAGTTGTTTCAGGGAAAAGTTCAAGTGAAAAAATGAGAGAAAGGAGAAAAAGTAAACATCAATGATTAGGGGTGATTTATTTCCAATGGCAGAAAAAAGCTTCTGGAGCTTATCAAACAGTCACAAATACTAACAGTAATGAATTGTGTGAAAGGTTTTTTTTTTTTAGAAACCTTGGTTCTGAGCTGCAATAATTTAGACATTTATACAATGCTTTTTACCTAAGTCTCTGGCAATCCTAGTAATATATGCTGCTTCTGTCATTTGCACTGGCAAGGACCATGTTATAACTAAAGGAACAGGGGTGTTAAGAAAGAAAAGGCGGTATCCATCTCTCTTGAAAGAAGGGTTTGCATTTTCAGGCACTGAGAGACATGCTTAGAGATTGTGTGCTTGACAGCATAATGGGTCCCCTAGATATCATTGCTAGCTCTATTGAACAGTGCTAAAAATTCCTCAAGTAATTTTCTCTAACAGAAGCACAAAGTTACTAGTCAGCGAGTCTGCAAAGAACACAGAATTATATAGTGAAGAACCTATTTGCCCTAATACCCCTGGCAGAAAAGTTTGACAAAGGAAATGGTGGGTTTTTTTTTTCCCCTGGAATTCTCTGGCTATTCACCCAGCCTCTTCTGGTAGGGACATTTACCATAATGCACCTGGAACCCTGGCATGTGGATAGGGAGCCTGGACTCTTCTATCTACCACTTCAAGGCACTTCTGTGACAAACCATGTTCAATTTGAAGTAGACATCAGCTGGTGTCAATAGCAGTGACTGATAATTTATCAGACCTGCTTTCAGGAAGAGAACCTGGGCAGATAATGGTGCATCCCCTCCTTTAGAGGACTAGGAAGAACAATGCTTACAATGCTGGTGGCCAGACTGGAGACATGCCCTAATACTAGTTGACACTCCAAAAGTCATGAGGTTCAGATAAAGTTAGGAGTACTGTCCTGCAGTTGCTATCAACAAACTGAACAGAAATAAGAATGGCTATGTTCAGTCCTTTACCTTTCCAGAGAATTCTTTCACTAACTACCTCTTGTAATGCTCACAGAATCCAAGAAGTGATGGAGATTAATGTTTTTATATGGTTTTTTCATAGCAATAATCAAAAGCAGAGACATACTATAACTTGCCCTGGGCCATGAGACTATGTCAGAAAAAACTGAGTCAAGCTTAGGTTCATAGACCTTGGGTCTTTAGCTCATCTCTACTACTTTGATAGTTTCTCTAGACTATAGTTGTGCATCCTTAACCATGGAAAACAGAACATGAAAGGTTCTTGTAGTGGGAAGTATCTGGGATTGATGTTTGAATTAGAAGAATGAGGTGCAAAAACACTCCCTGAGAATGAGCAAAGCAGACACACAAGGAGGAACAGAAGCCAACCACAGAGCTTTGAAGAGAAAACTTTGGATAGGTATTAGGCTTAGACTTAAGCAGGGGCAGATGGTCAGAGAAGTTGCTCCCTGCTGAACAAAAGGAAGGGAATGAGAGCTCTTGTTCCAGAGAGCTTGTAGCTACCCTACAGGTCACCTGGTGGGTGGGGTCTTGTTCACACAAGATTACAGAGGCTACCTAAAGGAGCACATGCCCACTTGAGGATGACAAATCAATGGGATCAGTCTGGAGGGTGTAAAATCAGACAGGCAAACTGTTGATAGGAACTTAACGTCCCTTCCCCCTTGCTTTGGAACTTCACTTAACTTTTACCATAATTTAGCAAGAAAGAAAATTTCTCTCTCTGTTATCCAATTATGAAATAAGCACACAAAAGAATAGTATTAAATCCCCTGTGAAATGGTAAGACAGGTAAGAGTCAGAGACTTAATGGTTTAGTCACATGAAATGAAGCAGTGTTGGTTCCATTTTGTCAAGGGATAGGAGGACCACCACTCTGAATCTCGTCACTGAAGTCTCCTGAAGTAGCTGGAAGCTGATGTGCAGATTTTAAAGAAGAGGAAGAAGCAGAAGAGCTGGATACAGATGCTCATGCTGCTAACAGGAAATGAGATCCAGCGTTAAGATCTGTAGAGTTCTGTAGGCTGGTGGGATACTTCATCCACTGTGACAGGAAAAGGAAAGATAAAGATGGAAGACAACTGGGGAGTTTTGTGAGAGGAAGGGTGTAAGAAGAGAACATGCTTTTTGTAAAATCGTGGACGGTAGCTATTAAGCACAAACTCATTTTCAGTTATAGTCTAAATTTTGAGCACATAGAATTTCATTCAAGTAGGATGTATTTACTATAACCAAGTCCATAAAAGGATCAGTCACCCCAGAGCAGCTGGAATTTTTTTTCCCGAGACATTCACATTCATCACAAGTGTCACTGGAGAGTTGTGGGCACAATAAAAATCCACACACTCCTTTTCAGGACTGGTTGTCCTGTGGCTATGGGCGTGTGCTTCTTGCTCATAAGATAAATGATGGGTAATTTCATTAATGGTGATGCCAGGAAGACCATAGTGTCTTAACATTTAGAATACAATCACAGAGTTTAGAGCTTGGAAGGGTCCTCAGAGGTCATCCTGCCCAACCTCTTCCATTTACAGATGAGTAATATAATACCCCAAGAAGCTGAGGAACCATTTATCTAACACCTATTAAGAGAAGGCACTTCTACATATATTAGGACTGGCTCCACTAGTTAAGGTCAAAGTTGGAATAGAACGGTCCAAGTCCTGAATTCACTAGAGTATGCTGCTATCTTCTATGTAGGTGACATGGATTCATCCAAACCAGTGAAGACAATATGCCACAGGTGTCTCCTAAAAGGGAGCAATATGTGAAATCTGATCATTTGACTAAGAAATTTAGCTTTTTTCCATTTTTTACTATTAATATTATATTCAAGTAAATATTTCTACATGAGAACATAAACTCTCAACAGACTTTATTTCATAACAATCTGGGCCATACTTACATTTTTTCAATATATATTTTTTTACTGAATTTTGTGCATTTCATACTTCTGAATAATATTTAGACCCCTCTCCTATCTTCAGTCCCTGATAGCCAACCCCACCCCATTTCCTGCATTCTGTCATATATGTTAAGGCCTACTGAGTCAAATTTATGTTTCCACATGCCTCTCAGTGTGAATTCATCCACTGGAGCCTTATTAGCCTATCTAGCATCAACCCTTAAAGAAGATCAACTCTCTCTTACCAGTAGTAATCTTGGGCTGGCAAAATGGTTCAGAGAGTAAAGGTACTTATCATGTAAGCCTGGTAGAGTTCAATCCTATGCCAGAAGCCATATAAAGGTAGAAAACAAAACCAACTCCACAAACTTGTCTTCTGGCCTCCACATGTATACCATGGCATGAATATTATGCATGCAGCATAACACAAGTGTGTTTGCACCTCTCTCTCTCTCTCTCTCTCTCTCTCTCTCTCTCTCTCCATACACACATACACTCACAGTAATGATAAACAGTTTTTAAAGACAAAAGGAATGTCTTTCCTATCTCACTGTCATCACAACTCTCAGCAAAAAGACCAGAGTTGTGGTCTTTATCTTTGTCAGGCTTCATGATCAACTTTCCTCCATCTAGGAAGAGATAGAGAAAATTCCTAAAGAGAAAAATGTTAGAGAGAGGAAATAAAGGAGAGGAAAGAGAAAGAGTAACTTCCTCAGGACACTTTGGGGGAGACAAAAACTGATCTGAGGTTTAGGTCTCTTGCCTGGGCTTAGGTTGGCTTAGAAACTCATCAGAAACTTATCATAATAGGAGGGATCAATGGCTCAGAGATCAGAAGCTTGAGTATATCATCTCCTTTTTACTGAATATCTGTGTAAATATTCTGTATGCATTCTTTTAATCATTTCTTCCAATGCCCGTAGAATATAAACACTACTCCATACTATTTAAGAGCTGTAAAGATGGAGGCTCAGATAAATTAATTGATTTCAAAAGGGTCCTGGCATTGTCACCTCTTCTTACCTCCTCTATTTCCTCTATTTTGAAAAGAAGGAAAAGGATCTCAGTGTGTAGTCCTGGTTGCCTGGAACTCACTGTGTAGTGGAAGCTGGCCTCAAACTCCTAGCAATTCTTATGCTTCAGTCTCTCAAGTGGTGAGATTAAGTGTAAGCTAATACCTCTGGCCCCTATTACTCTATATTGCTTCCAAAATCACATATCTAGACATGATTAAATGTACTAAGGTATTAATAAAAATTAATAAGTTTCTACTCTGTGCAGTCATTGTGCTCTAACTCTCAATATAAGAGATAATTTAACCCTCACAATAACCCTATATATTTGATACTCTGCTGTTTTTTAAAGGAGGAATTGAGGCTGAGAAAGGTTAAATAAATTTTTACTAGTCATGTTTCTGTGAGCAAATCTGAACTAGGTCTGGGTCACACTGGAGTTCATGTTTTCATCCCCTATGTTAATAATCCTTGTGCTTTATGGGCTCTGAGACCTCTCTGAGACTAATAAAAGCTACAGATCCTCATCTTTTCAAAGCAAATATTTACACCAGGCTTTTTTCACAAATGCACATTTGGACCAGATAATTCTTTGTAATGCAGGGTTGTCATGTGTCTGGGGGGATATTTCATATGCCCTCGGCTGAACAGCAGTGACTTCTAGGGGATCTGTGACCTTGTAGTTCAGCTCCTGGTGTTCTGCTCCTGAGTACTACTTCTGCCATGAACTGATGATGCTACACAGCTTAATGCACCTCTGTTGGTCTGTTTTTCTAATGCTCCTCCATGTAAAGTTATAGTGGTTGCAAAGGAGGAAGAAAGCCTAGGTGAAGAGCTGGTCTTTGCAGAATATAGGAGAAGCACTAGGGCTGGCTTTCCCAGGAGTAGCTGGCTGTGGCGCAAGGCCAATCCACATTAGTTCGGGGTGTTGAAAGGATTAATCATGACCAGATGTTGGCTCCTGCCTCTGAAAATTTCTAACAGAACCCTTGGTAAGGCC